TGAAAGGAACAAAAGGTAAGTCTAAACTTTGTGAGTGTAGTGTTTGAAGAGCATTCTCAGATGGCAGGTTAAGCTTCGAAGTAATTCCAGACTTGATGTAGTGGTATGTATGTATGTAAATACACACACACACATACACACACACGCTGATATTTTTCTCCTAGTAATTCAGCTTTGGGGTTCTGAATAGCTGTTTCTCTCTCTATCCCAGTTATGATAAACGGAAAATATTGCTGTCCAAAGATATACTTCAATCATCGTTGCTTCTCAGGGCCATATCTTAACAAGGGAAGAATCGCTGAGCTGCCTCAATGCGTAGGACCAGGGAACTGTGTTCTGGTCCTCAGAGAGGTAAGGTTCTGGCCCGGAGCCAGTACAAGTGGAAATTTGCCAGCGTCCCTCAGCCTGGCTCGTACCCTGAGCTGTGTGCGACAGCTGTGCCAGCCCTAGGTTCTCAGAAGTTACTAACTTTCCGCACGTGTTAGATGGTGAACCGGGCACGGAATCGCTTCTACTCCTTAGGGAACCCTCACCTAAACAGTTCTGCAGGTGGCAAGTTTGCGGACTTCTGTTAACAGGGAACGGTCTCTCGGCAGGGCCCACACGAGAGCTGTGCAGTAGCCAGTCCACGACCGAGGCCATGTGGCCCCAGCCTGGGGGCCATGATGAATCTCCCATCTAGACGTGTCGCGCCTCCCAGCCAGCGTGCTGCACTGCGCTGAGCATGTCGGATGTGCGGACGGGTGGGTGGCAAGGCCGGGTCTGGGGAAGCTGCGGCGTCCGGGTCAGACTGGCAGCTGTAGGAAGGCCCAGCTGACTACAAATAAACTGTGTGTGTGCCGTGGCTGAGAAGCATTCAGAAGCACGTGCTAAAGTAATAGGCCCAGTAAACAGGGCCTGGTTTTCCTTGACCGTGGCATTTTGAATGTCTACGAGGATGTGGCTGCTACTTCGGGCAGCTATCCCACCTCAATATTACTATTCTGTTAGAATGAATCTCTTAAGTGGCCTTTGACGTTCTAAGGGTAGCAAGAGTGCTGCGGTTCTCATGGTCTGCTTCCCTCCTTCCCTCACGTCTCTGCTCTGTAACCTGCAGGTCCTCACTTTACTTATCAACGCAGCCTACAAGCCCAGCCGCGTCCTTCGAGAGCTGCAGCTGGACAGAGGCTCCGTGTGGCACGGGTGTGGGGAGGTCCTGAAAGCCAAGTGAGTCCACGGCTCGGTCCCGTGCGCCTCCTCGCCTTCACCCAACGCTTCCGTGGGTGGCTTCAGCGCGCGTGGCTTTCCCTGGGCATGTTCCTCACCTGTCTGTGAAGGGCCAGGCTTGCAGTCTTTCTGGATTCCCATCCTGTTGTGGATCAGTGCATCTGTATAATATGTTGAAATGAATGACAAGAAATATGAAATTTTTAAAGATAAAAATGCAGGAAAAATTTTTTTAATTTCTGGAGAGCATGTGTATGTACCAGAGAAAAAGGGGTAGATAGAAACCACAGACCCCAGTGGAACATGGTGACGCCAAGTCCTTTTTCCCCTTTCCCCCACCCCCTCAGGACCTTTGGCATCCACACACATCTGCCCGGTGTGTTTCTCAAGTCACCAGAGCGGGGATTCAGGCCGCAGCCAGCCATGTGGAATCCGGCTTCCAGTGCCCCGCACGTAACCCCTGCTCTCCGCGGCTGGCCTGCAGTTCTTGTTTGTTTGTTGTTTTTTCAATTTCCAGAAGGCATTTGCACTTGCTGGAAAGAGAGAGAGAAAGGAGGGAAAGTGAGGAAGCGCCTCCGTGGAGGACAGCCATGCCATAGTCCCTTCTCGATTTCCTTGTCTGGGGGGATTTGGGGGCACGCGGGCACAAGCGCCTGGGCGTGTTTTTGAAGCCGTTGGGTCTGGGGCTCAAACCGCACAGTCGGCCGTGGAGGATCCAGCCGTCTTCACCGCCACACCCCTGAGTGGGCCTTGTTTTTAAGATTCAAGAGAAAATTACCTTTTTAAATTACTGCAAGATGTTATAAACATTCTCTTGCTTTCTGACCCGATCTTGTCCCTGACGGGTGACAATCGCAGGTATTACTAGTCTTTGGGCCACACTCTGAGGATCAGTTTTCGTTTTACAAAAGCAAGGTTATGACGTGGAAGCTTTAACTTAGGGACAGAAAGCAGGGCCTTGGTCTTGCTCGTTGGGATACCTCCGCGTCGCGTCGTTACAGCTTACCGTGTAGAACTGCCCGCGTCTTAGCCTCTCCGACAATAAAAGAGCACAGATGATGATTTTTTTAAATTTTCAAAATCTATTTATTGTTTTGGAGCATAGATTATTCTAGGAAGCAGAAATACGTTTCCGATATGTTCGTGTGTTTGCCCTGGCCATCCCGGACCTGTAAAGCTGTCCTGTGGTGTCTTCCGTTGGCAGATATAAAGGGAAGAGTTACCGGGCGACCGTGGAGATAGTGAAAACGGCAGACCGGGTGACCGAGTTCTGCCGGCAAACCTGTGTGAAACTGGAATGCTGCCCTAACCTCTTCGGCCCGCGGATGGTTCTGGATAAGTGTTCGGAGAACTGTTCTGTCCTCACAAAGACCAAATACAGTGAGTCGTGTCTGTCACGTGTTTCAGTCATAGCAGCCGATCTTGACTCAGCCCGGGATTTTCCTTTCCAGACGTTTACATTTAGCAGAGATGTACAGAACGTTTTCTGTGTGGGGCAAGAGAGTATCGGGCCGTTGGAAAAGTCATGACATATTTTTCTATGCGTTTCTGTGCGAAAAATGCATCATGGCTTTTCCAGCAGCCCAGTATTTTATGCTGTGCATCATGTGATCTGTGTCACATATTCTTTTTTGTTGTATTGTGTTTTCATTTTTTAAAGAATGCTTTTAAAAATGTAAGGACCATTTTTAACTCCTGGGCCATACCAAAACAGGCTGTGGCCACATCTGGCCCAGAGGCCCTCGTTGCCGACTTTCAGATAAAGCTTGTATGCCGATGAGCGATTACATCTAGTGGGAGGTGCAATTCATTCATACAGCCTGCGAGAATTTATCATGTTCTAGCCCTGGGCTATGACAATAAAGAAGAAACTCCCTGTCCTTACCTAGTTTACATTCCACGTGGTAGGCAGGTAATAAGCAGAGGATGGCCAGAGCAGGGAAATAAAGCCAGGTGAGCAGCAGAGGGGTGGGAAGGCCCGGAGGAGGAGCGCTCCTCGTACAGGTGGTCAGGGAAGGCTTCCTGGTAGCGCGTCCTGAAGACGCCTTTCAGCGGGTGCCTGACGGGCAGGTATGTAGGACATGGGCTCAGGCAGAGGTGTGCTTGGTGTTCTCCAGACAGCGAAGAAGCCGCGGTGGCTGGGAGGTGTGAACAGTAGAGCTGCAGCCTCGCTTTGTTCTCTTTTCTTTTTTTTGGAGGTTTGCTACAGGTCGTGTGCACTCACCAGAAAGAGAGAGACATAGAGACAGAAAGCGAGAAATCACCCCCCAGGGGGGATGGCCACGCCGCAATCCCTTCTCCTCCATTCTCCTCTCGGGATCTTGGGCACGCACACGTGCCTGGCGTGAGTTTAAGCTGCCAGGTCTGGGACTCGAACTGTGGTTGACTACATGGGAGTCCAGTGACATAGCCATTACGCTAACTGCTGGTCCCTCACTTGGAACTGTCATGGCAACACCACTTCCCTCTCCTGGTAGTCACTCCTTAGTGACACCGGGGCAGGGGTCATGCAGGATATAATTCCCAATTTAAAGTCTCATCAAGGCATCACCCAAAGAAAAAATTTTCTCATCCCAACTTTCCTTAAATCTTAGGAGTCCTAATGGCACTTTCGGAGAATTAATATGGAGGAGGATTTTTATCTTGTTAGTTTTCGAAAACTCTATTTGTTAATCATCGGAGGATGCCTGCAGCCCCACAAATGGAGAAAGTACCCCCCACGGGGTGTGGTCACGTCCCAATCCAGTCCTTTTTCTCTCTCTCCATCTTATCAGAATTTGGGGCACATACATGCATGCACCGGCCTACTATTCAAACTGCCGGGCCAGGACTCAAGCCGCAGTCGGCCACGTGGGGTCCAGGTCCCTCTCTGTAGTGCACTGCCTGCTATAGGGCTGGCCCGACCTGGTTCAATTGGAAATACTTCTTTAGGGCTTGGTGCTCTCAGCCTCCTGTGCCTGCAGATCACCTTGTTAGCGTGGTTCTCAGCCGCGGGGGTCTGGTGTCGGGGCCTTAAGGCTGCGTTTCTGCAGGCTCCCAGATGCTCCCAATACTGACCACTGAGCAGATGAGCTTTCTCACCAAATCAGAAGCCCGACCTTCTGGTTTCTATTCATATTTATTGGAGTGAAAACTTCAATATTCCAATACTCCAAAACACCGTTCCTGTGAGTACATACGTGCCTCAGTACACCGCTTTGGGCCTCTGGAAGGTATGTGGATTTCATCATGTGTTCTTTCTGAATTTTTCCTTTACAGTGATAACCTAGATTTTGGGAGCATCTATAATTTTTCCCAGCCAGTAATGGATATTCTTTAGGAGATTCTATATCCTTTAGAAGACTTTTTTTTTTTTTTTTGCAGGAGATTAGACTTTGATATGACTTTAGTTTATAACTCAGCTAGAATATATGTTCCACATTTGGAATTCTCTCTGTATTCTAAAATTTAGATGAAAATGCAAAGGATCCCGAGTAGTCAAAGCAGTCCTGCAAAGGAACTATAAGGTTGGAGGACTTATTCTTTCTTTCAGTTGTAAGTTATAGGAATGAAAACAGTGTGGCACTAAATAATAGTCAAATAGAGTGATGGGACAGACTAGAAGGTCCAGAAGTAGAGCCCAGCTTAAATGGTGAAATGATCTTCAAAAGAGTGGCAAAGAAATTTCATAAGAAAAGGACATTATTTTCAGTAAATGGCACTGGTATGACTGGGTATCAAAATAGAAAAAAATAAAAAGCCTCTTTGGCTCCCATGTCCTACTGTATATAAAAACGAGTATATTATAGGCCTAGGATAAAAGCTAAAACTTTAAAGCTTCTAGAAGGAAACAGGGAGTCGAGATTCAGAAATACACTAACACAAAGGAAGGCAGTAAAGAATGAAACATCCGAAATGAAAAACTTCTGCCCTTCGAACAATACTAAACAAACGAAGGGACAAGCTATAACCTCAGAGAAACACAGGGTCGTTTGAAAAGTCATGACACATTCTTGCACAGAAAAAGACTTTTCCGACCACCCAGTAGCCTCCATATATACATCTAAGAACTTCTTGCCAGAATATATTAAGACCTTGAGCCAGCAGTTGGCATAATGGCTATGTTGCTGGACTCCCACGTAGTCGACCACGGTTCGCCTCCCGGATCCAGTGGCGTAAAACTCAGGACGGGCGCGTGTGCGTGCGTGCCCAAGATCCCAAGAGGAGAATGGAGGAGGAGGGATTGCGCTGCGGGGTGGGGAGGTGATTTCTCGCTTTCTGTCTCTCTGTCTCTCTCTGTCTGGCGAGTGCACGCGCCCTATAGCAAAAACCTCTCCAATAAAAAAAAGAATTTATTAAGACCTGCCATAAGTGAACAATGAAAAGAGCAGTTTTGAATCTAGCGGGTTGGTGGCTCCAGTGTCATGAATACCCTGAACGCCCCTGGGTTGTGGACTTGACCCTGGCTGATGGTCGTATGTGCCGTCACGTCTAAGCTAAATAAACACAGGAAGCAGTGTCCCGGAGCTAGCGGCGAAGGGCGCACAGGGTACCTGCACCACAGACTCCACGTCGTACACTTCCGAGGTGGTGTGTTTTAGTGAGGTCCATCTCGGTACAGTGTCGCTGGTGGGAGGGAGAAGCTACACGTCCACTTCGGGTTACTGGCTGTTCCGTCCAAAGTTAATCATGTATCTGCCCCATGATTCAGGCATTCCATTCCATTCCTAAGTATTTATCCAAGGAAATGAAAACACGCCCATTAAGAAAGCCTTGTACGAGAGTGTTCATTGCAACTTAATGAATTACAGTTCAGACCTGGAGACGGTCCAAGTGCTCATCAGCAGCCCGTTCTTACACCGGGACGCTATTGAGAGAGAGAGAGTAACAAGCGGCTCGCACACGTGACAGCACAGACAGGGCCCAGAAGCAGGACTGAGAGCAGCCAGGCCACGAAGTACCGAGCGTGGGGTTCTGCAGAGGCAGGACATCCCTGTAGCGAGGGCGGTCGGGGCCAGTGGCTGCTCCTGGTGAGGGGTGCTGTGCTGGTGGGGGTGTGCTGTCTGGACAGGGAGAGCATGGTTTGGGTTTGTGCATTAGGGAGCTGCTCAGGGGCCGTTCACCCCCACTGGCTGGAATGGCAGTGTGCCTGTTTTCTGCCGTGCTAGGACTGCGATTTTGCGGTGCACGCAAATAATGAAGCTACTTTATTTTTCCTTGTTATCCACATTTAGCACACTATTATGGAAAGAAGAAAAATAAAAGAATTGGGAGGCCACCTGGTGGACATAGTAACCTAGCCTGTGCCCTGAAAAAAGCCAGTAAGAGGAGAAAGAGGCGGAAAAATGTTTTTGTTCATAAAAAGAAACGTTCCTCAGCATCCGTTGATAATACGCCAGTGGGCTCTCCCCAGGTAAGAGCTCTGTAACATCTGGAGGGCACGCGGCCACTGCCCCCGGCGTGGGCACTGACGGCGTACCTGCAGGGCCACTAATCAGACCGCGGCCCGTTGGAGACGGCTGGCCGGGCACTGGCGTACCCTGCGTTTCACTGCGACTTCTCTCCTCTGCCTCCAGGGGAGCGGGGGCGAAGAGGAAGACGACCCGGACGAGGGCGATGACGACTCCCTCAGCGAGGGCAGTACCTCCGAGCAGCAGGACGAGCTCCAGGAAGAATCGGAGATGTCAGAAAAAAAGTCGTGCTCCTCTTCGCCCACCCAAAGCGAGATGTCCACGTCCCTGCCTCCGGACAGACAGAGGAGGAAAAGAGAGCTTCGCACGTCTTCGTTTTCTGATGATGAGAATAAACCTCCTTCACCAAAGGTACCACCCTGGCGATGGTTTTTTCCCTTCCCTAGAATCCAGCTCCCTTCAGTACAGGCGCACAGAGGTGTTCCAGCCGTCTGTCTCTGTCTGTCTCTCTCTCATCTTTAGTTGCCACAGAGAGGAAGGGAGAGGGAGGAGGTGGTCACGCTACAGTCCCTTCTCCTGCGTGAATTTTGGACACTCACGCACACACGCCTGTGTGGTTTTGAAGCCATCAGGGCCAGGATTTGAAACACTGTTGGCCATGTGGGATCCAGCTACCCTAACCAGCTCGGCTATGAGACCAGTCTTCCAGGGTCCCTTTACAAATTATTCCAAATGCAGTGATTTACGTGGCTCTCAGGATTATTTGGAAGTCAGCTTCTTACAGGGGGAAGTCTCTCAGAGTCCCTGCTTGTCTTAAGTAAAAGAAGAAGGGCCCGCGGGGCAGCAGTTAGGTGTTGCCCAAGAGAGGTGGGATCCCACGTGGCAATGCGCTTTGAATCCCTCACCCGGTCAGCCTGGGGCATTCTGGGCGCGTGTGCGAGTGTCCAGGATCCGACAGGCTGTAGGACTGGAGGAAGGGGATCGCGGCAGGGGCACACCCTGTAAAGGGGTCTCATCTCCCCACTCTCCTACTCGCGCTCTGTCGCCTGTGTGCCCATCCACTCCATTACAATTAAAGGGGAAAAAATAAGAAAAGAAAAAAGCCTCATTGCATATTTGTAGCCTGTCGTTTATCGATAGTTTAGGGGAAACTACCTTTTTAATATTTTTTTCATAATACAGTTTTATAGAAATAGTTTATTTATTCGTTTTATTCTAGTTAAGCTATTTTGTTTAATATAATGTATAAATGTATATATATTTATACACTAAAGAATGACATTTAGGGGACCAGCAGATGGCATAATGGCTACATTGCTGGACTCCCATGTAGTCGACCGTGGTTCGAATCCCAGACCCAGTGGCTTAAACCCATGCCAGGCATGTGTGTGTGCGTGCCCAAGCTTCCAAGAGGAGAATGGAGGAGAGGGGATTGAGGCGTGGCCCCGCCCTGGGGGATGATTTCTTGCTTTCTGTCTTTCTGTCTCTATCTTTCTGGAGAGTGCACGTGCCTTATAGCAAAAACCTCTCAAAAAAATAAAAATAAAAAAGAATGACATTTAAGTTTTAAAACTGGATGGCTTTTAAAAAACTGTTCCATGGACAGAGTAGATTATTTCTCCTCGTAGTGTAGTGAAGCCTTCTCTCTTGGAAAGACCAGCCCACTCATCCAGCGCCTGCCAGACAGCATGCTGAAATAGACCGAGGGACCACAGGCGGGTGTAAAAGTACCCTCCCCGTGAAGCTGTCCAGGTTCTGTGTGTTGAAATTTTGAGATAAGTTATCCACTTATTTGTTTTTCAATTATTTATTTTGTTTTTGTTTATTATTTTCATTTTCCTATAGGGCTCATGTCCTCACCAGAGAGAGACAGAGACAGAGACAGAGAGAGATTGAGAAAATGAGAAAGCAAACTACCAGGTCTGAGAGTTGAACTGCGGTCAGCCATGTGGGAGTCCAGCACCCTAACCACCTCATCCAATGCTGGCCCCCCATCCATGTCTTCTGTCATAAAACGAACATTTTCTGAGTGCCTAATGCACGTGACCATCTTTGCTGGGGGAGATCGTGTCCTCAGTACCACTTTAAGTCCTGTCTTGAGGGATCACAAAGCCAGGGACCCTTTTCTTTAGAATAATCCGATCTTACACCATTTTGTTCAATTTTGTTGTGGGAAACGAAGGAGATCAGGATCGAAGTGGCCGAGAGGCTTCACCTGGACAGCAACCCCCTGAAGTGGAGCGTGGCGGACGTGGTGCGGTTCATCAGATCCACCGACTGCGCTCCCCTGGCTCGGATATTCCTGGACCAGGTAATCACAGGGGCCTGCGGTTTTTAGTAAGGTGTCACGTCAGCAAAGAGCTGTGGGTGAATATTGGGCTGTCGGGCAAGTCATGGTGCGTTTTGGCATAGAAAAAAATACCTCATGACTTTTCTGACAACCTAATAGTTAATATTTGAGTGTTAAGAAAAATGTTTTAACCCCAAATTTTGTTTTATTGGGTTGTCAAAAAAGTCATGATGCATTTTTCTTTTTTCCTTTTCCTTTTTCTTTTTTCTTTTTCTTTTTTTTTTTTTTTAAGAGATTTTTGCTATGGTCAATGCACTCATCCAACAGGCAGAAAGACAGACGGAAAGCGAGAAATCACCACCCCTGACCCCAGGGGTGATGGCCACCCAGCAATCCCTTCTCCTCCATTCTCCTTTCGGGGTCTTGGGCACGCACGCACACACATGCAGCGTGAGTTTCAAGCCACCGGGTCTGGGACTCGAACGGCATTCGAGGACACGAGAGTCCAATGACATAGCCACTACGCCATCATTATGCTGCTTGGTCCCAAGTCATGACATGGTTTTCTATGCAAAAATGCATCATGAGTTCTCTGACAACCCAGGAGTTCCCTTTTGCGGAGTGGAAAGATGATTAAAAGTTATGTATTTGACATGCTCTGTAGCTGAAGCAGATTATCATTGTATTTTCGGTTTTCCTGAGAATTTTATTCCAATCCCTGCCCCCAAATGTAAATGGTTTAAAACAAAACACAAAGCAGTAAGAATTCATTCTACGGAGTCTCTGCACCACAGACGCTGGGTGCACTAACTAGCCCTGCTATTGGTAACTCATTGTATCAAAAGAAACATTTTTAGGGGACTCTTTGAAAATGTGACACAAAGTATTAACTGCAAACCTCAATGTAGTTTGTAATTAATACTATTCAGTAACATTCATAAAAAAAATCTGGCTAGCCCGGAACCAGTAGATGGCGTAATGGTTACATCGCTGGATCCACATAGTCGACAGTGGTCCAAGTCCTGGATCAGCAGCTTAAAACACCAGGAATGTGTGTGTGCATGCCCAAAATCCTAAGAGGAGAAGAGAGATGGAGGAGAACAGATTGTGACATGAATATTCCCCATGGAGAGTGCTTTCTCTTCTCTGTCTCCGGTAAGTACATGTGCCCTCTAGCAAAAAAGAAAAGTAAAAATAGATATTGCACAAACAGGAGGGCACCACTGTACAGTGGCTGAAGCTGCATAGGAGACACAGTTCCATTCCCAGCCTAACCTAAAACAGGCTAAGTGTAGTGTTCATGCACTGTGGTCCTAGGTAGCTGGGAGGGTAGGAGGTGATAAGACCCTGTCAAAAAAAAAAAAAACAAACAAAAAAACTCAGTGGAAAATAAAAGAAAAAGGAAGAAGAGATTTCTCTCTCTTTTTTTTTTTTTTCTTCCCCTTGCCATGGGGCCTGTGTGTTCACCTAAGAGAGACTC